GCTTAAATCACCTATTGTAGACCGGCACTTAGTCTATTTTCTTAAGGCTTAGGGCTTAAACCACCTATTGTAGACTAAGCCTTAAGAAATTGACCAATCACAATCAAGTATGAGGAGAATACTCGACTGTGATTAGTCAATTTCTTAAGGCTTAAGGCTTAAACCACCTATTGTAGATCGGCACTTAGTCCAAACCTAGTAAATTCGCTCGTTTTCGTAATTTTCACCCTCACTTGAATTACAGAATCGATACCCAGAAGCCAGGGAGTCTATTACGGTTCTTGAAACGAGGTGAAAATTACAAAAGTGAACAGATTTACTAGATTTTGACAAATCAATGGCAAAATTTTTCACTTTTCGCCCTAGGGAAAAAGTTACATGATCGATACCCAGGAAATTTATCGTACTGATATCTTGTTTGTTCGCTCGTTTGCGTACCGCAAGAAATACGAGAAGCAATTCTTGTGTGCGCTGTTCTGGGGGCCTATTACAGTTTTTGAAAGGCTGTGTTCCGATTTCCCACCCGGGTGCACCCGATATTATAGTATATGTCACGTATACTATAATATCGGGTGCACCCGGGTGGGAAATCGGAACACAGCCTTTCAAAAACTGTAATAGGCCCCCAGAACAGCGCACACAAGAATTGCTTCTCGTATTTCTTGCGGTACGCAAACGAGCGAACAAACAAGATATCAGTACGATAAATTTCCTGGGTATCGATCATGTAACTTTTTCCCTAGGGCGAAAAGTGAAAAATTTTGCCATTGATTTCAATGCTAATATTTTTCACTTTTCACGTTTCCGTCCTAGGGAAAAAGTTACATGATCGATACCCTAAAGGTACCTTTACATGGCAGCATTAAGCGTCGAGCGTCTGCGCAGAAAAATGCGCAGAATTTAAAAGAGATAGATTCTAGGCTGAAATTAGATTCTGCGCAATTTTCTACGCAGACGCTCGACGCTTAACGCTGCCATGTAATGGCACCTTAATGTTAAAGCGAAAATAGCGTCAAGAGAAACGCATTTAAGCCCGTATCAGACTATGTATTGAAGATTAAAATTTGACCAATCAGGATAAAAGAAACTGAAATTTCCTTGTCCTGATTGGTCAAATTTTAATCTCAATGCATAGTCTGATACGAGCTTTACGCAAGCGCAAAAACGCCATTGTAGACAAAAACCACAATGTCGAGCTTCAATTGGTCAAGTTTTTTTTTGCCCTATGCTATGACTGCGTTCCGATATTCGCTGCCAGGGTACCGATCATGTAACTTTTTCCCTAGGGCGGAAATGTGAAAAATATTAGCATTGAAATCAATGGCAAAATTTTTCACTTTTCCGCCCTAGGAGAAAAGTTACATATCGATACCCTGTACCACTGACGAGATATTATTAAAGACCGTCAGCCCTGGGTAAACTTTTGTGACCATCAAGTGGGTCCGGTGGGCCCGGAGGTAATTGAAGAATGTTGACATTACCGGCCATTTGATTGGATCGAAGATAATTACACGAATTATTTAATTCATACGGTTATTTTACTTCATCCAGTTATAATTTTATTATCGAACACACCGACGAGATATTATTAGAGACCGATGGTCTTATAGAATTTAGCATATTACTGGAAAAAAACTCGCCACGCGGTACTGTAGGTAAGTAAATCTTTGCATTGTCGATAATAAAACAGTAAATTTACGATAAAATGTTTATTTTGTTGTTCTTGAGGCAGTTATATAAAAGATCTATACATTTTTGATAATAAGACAATAACTAGATGAACTAAAATAACGCGTAGCGAGTTTTTTTTTCCAGTCACACTAAATCCCATAAGACCACCGGTCTTTAATGATATCTCGT